TTTAGCTGACTACAAAGACTACAAACTACAACTCACTTTCCATACTCAAATTTGTATTTTGAGCATTTCTTCTCATCGTCCTTATGAAACTTTGTCTGCGCTTCACAGACATTCATAAAGATCGGGCTCTTATTCTGAGCAACACGTTCGTTCTCTTCTGTGAGCTCTTGATTCAAAAGTGGCTCGTTCGCTGGTGGTACAACCACTTCCAAATCGATATCATCGGTGGGCATCTGAAATTATTTCTGAAGTAGTTACAGAAAAGTGTCTTAGAAGTGGTAATAATACTATGCTAGAGTGACCCTAAGTACTCAATTTTTTTTATAAAAACTTATTCTATGAGGAATAAGAAAACTTTATTGAACAAAAACTCACGAGTTTTCAATGATTCTGATGTTGAATTGATGATATTTTACACCGAAACAAAGATTCTGGAAAATTGTTGTTAAGGATGAGCAATGAATTTGATCGACATCGTATGAGCAATTGATTCGAGAAACATCGGATGAGCAATTAATTCTTTCCTAGAATTCCACTGGATTTTTGATCGAACTGATGATATATCCATCTCCGGTGACAGCGCTTCAATTCTGATAATTATTGGATCGTTTAAACATAAAATTAAACCTCATACCGCATTTAACACTCATGCCGTCGGGTAGAGTCGCCAATGGGCATTTCACGGCGGCAAATGCAAATTTCTATTTTTTGCATGTACAACACACACCGGTTTGTACACCCGCATTTCAGGTGCAGTATCAGAAACTGGTAAAAAACACATGATACAAACTTCTGGGTCCCGCTGAAAATCTTTATATATTTTTTAAATCCATATTTTAAATTTCCCTCCAGTTCTAGAAAATTTGAAGTGTGTCTGCGTCTATTCAAGTCACCTGTTCCAGACTAACCTACGAGGCCATGTTCCGATACTGTTTCCAACTGCAAATTAGGATTGGGCGTGACTTTGAAAATTATTAATGAAATAAGATAAGATAAAAGATGATCCAATTATATCTAGAAAACGATTTATTATGATGAGAAAGCGATCGGAAAAGAAAATACTATCAAAAAAGTAAACAGTGTACAACAGGAAATCAGACAAGTTTTAATAAGAAGGAACAGGGAAAAAGTTTATGTTATTCCTTGCTGCTCGAGTCTCTAGCAACCAATAATACATATTGTTCCCTTCTTTGGCAGGAGCTCCACCATCACAAACGACGCATTCACCTTCGCGATTTCTTCTGAATCCATCTCTCAATCGACATTCGCATCGTGATGGTTTACAGTTACGGAAACATTCTTCATTTGGTGGACCTAAAAAGGAGTTATTCAGATAAATAGAAATCAGTCATATTAAAAACTCACAAACGATTCCAGAGTTTTCATTTCCCTCGGACAAAGATCCACTGAATTGGATGATCAAACTGAGCGTCTAAAATAATTACTTCTGAATCGGCAAAAAATGACCAGGAAACTATTACTTACCAGCAAAAATGGTAAAAGAAAATTTTTCATGTTCGAAGCAAGTCACAGAAAATTGTACATCAAACCAAAATAACCTCACTTATATACGTTTCTATCTTATCTATTTTCTTTTATCTTATCTATTTTCTTCTCAATTTATATCCAATCGTAGCTTAAATTGTTGGAATGATCTCTCTCCTAGTGTTTTCCCCCCTCCCCTACCCCCCATTCGATCAATTTTATTTCTAATATTTCGTATTGTAATTTTCAAAAATATCTTACTCTTAACCCCCATAACTTTTAACATGTAACTATTTGTTTGATGTATAGGAGACCTATTGGTCCTTCACTCAATAAACTCATCATCACAGAAAATTTTACATCAAACCAAAATAACCTCACTTATATACGTTTCTATCTTATCTATTTTATCTTATCGATACTGGTCCCATTGGGGTTTTGCGAACACAGCTAGCACAAAACGTGAGCATAATGGGGACCAATATCGATAAGATAAAAAAGACAAGATAGAAACGTGTAGGGCTAAGTAGGGCTCCATTGGTTTGTCATACAATATTCTCTTACTTCGAACATGAGAAAGTTTCTTATATCATTTTTTGTGGTAAGTAATCGTCACCTTATCATTTTTAGTCGATTCAGAAGTAATAGTTTTCCAGACGCTCAGTTTGATCATCCAACTCAGTAGTTGTTGGTCCGGGGGAAGTGGTGAAGTTTGTAAGTTTTTTTATAAATGTTCTTAGCGAGACCTTGCTGCAAAAGCCCCTGTGCCTTCAAAAATGGTTGGCTGCATATCATGCTTCCATAATATGTATTTCAATTACCGTTATTTCATACTAGCAAAATTGGGGGCCGGCCCGGCCCGCTCGGCCCGCTTTTCAACTGACAACGAATTTTTCAAAATTTTTTTGGCTAAAAATAGTTTTTTCATCACAATTTTTAGCGAAAATCAAAAAGATATTTCAAAAAATTTCCAGGACAGTTAAGTAAGCAAAAAACATGCTTTTTTTTCGGTCTCACACTTTTAACACCAAAAAAAAAATACTGTTGCGGAAACCCGGCCCGTTGCAAGTATGCGTTATTTAGGTCCACCAAACGAAAAATGGACAAGATGTGGTCCTTGTGAAGGAGAATGCGGTATGCCAGATCCTCCATGCAACCGTAACTGTAAGCCACCACGATGCGTATGTCCGTTGGAAAATGGATTCAGAAGGAATCGCGAAGGAGAATGCGTCGTTTGTGACGGTGGAGCTCCTGCCAAAGAAGGGAACTTTATGTATTATTGGTTGATGGAAACCCGAGCAGCACGGAATAATAAGAACTTTTTCCCTGTTCCTTCTTATTGAATTGTGTTTCTTTTTCTTACTTGGAAATTTTTAAAACCGTTATAAAAATTCCCTACACATGCTACGTCTTTTATCATGAACAAGACTGCTTGCCGCGCCTTCGGCGCTTCAGCAGTAAGTAATCTTTCTTCCACCTTCGTGAAGTTGTACCAAATGGCCTAGTGGTTAGCTCCATCGCTTTTGAAATTTTCATACCTGGGTTCAACTCCCCTCTGGGCTAATTATATTTTTTACATTTTTTAAATACCTGGACATCCAGACATACATATCTTGAGTACATATTTTCGGTATTGTTTCATTTATGTATGTTTCTACTCCCCTCCATCACCTCTCCCGTGTATGCTCCCTCTCTCTCGGTTATCATTCGAAATCAATTTCTAGATAGTACTAGTCACTGAAGAGACAGTTAGACACGAAATGGAATGGAATGGTACGGGGGGAACCGAAAAGCAAACAAATCGCAATTTGCATACACACAAGACGAGGGATGCAACGACCGCACACAGTCAAGCACAACAATATATAATTTTAGAAGGCGAAGGAGAGGACGACTCTTTTCTATACACATACACACACAACTGTACACTTTTTCTCTTTGCGGTGGGCTGCTGCTTCACCTGTTTCTCCGTTTTGATTTTCTTTTGATCTTTTTGGAAGACATGACGGGTCATGGGTTATTTTTTGTTGTGCATTGGAGCGCGTTTGAAATTTTTAGAATTTTTTTGATGAATGTTATTTGATTCTTGATTGATTGGTTGAATCATCTTTAATGGTCGTTGAAAAATCGAGGCTCCAGGGTTCTGACTTCTAGGCCCGTGAGAGCCAGTTCAGAAAATCCGGATGTCTGAAAAACTGAGCTTGTGGATCAAAAAATTCTCTATCGAATGGTGTACATTTCACTAGAAGCTGCATCAGGGTAAATAGATCAAAAATCAAAAATTCAAAATTTTATTACTGAATTTTGTTCTTCCTCGATTTTGACCCATCTTTTCCGATACAACACAAGATGATATTCATACCAATCAATAGGAAATTGAATTTTCTATCGATTGGTACAAATATCAGGTTGAAGTGTTTCAGAAAAAGTAGATCAAAAACTCTAAAAACCGAAAATTTAGTACAAAACTCTGGATTTTTCGGTTTTTGGCCTTTTTTGACTCTACTTTTCTGTATCAACCACGTATGAATATATTACCAATCGATAGAGCATTTTTTGATCTACACTTTTCATTTTTTTTTATCTCCAGAAATTTCAAAATTGAGCTTTTTGGGGGCAGAAAACCCCAGACTGAAATCTGTCTGAAAATATTTCTGCCCGTGTATCTGTGTGTCCTATAAATATTTGTTTCCGCTTTTTTTCCGATTTCTGAAAATATTTTGCAAACGCGCCCCATTGAGAATTCTTGATTTTTTGAAAAAACGATCCCGTGACATTTCTATTTTCCACGTTTCCAAAAATTCAAACACGTGGTTCCTAGCTTTTTCGAATGTTTTCTGAAATTATTCCCACTTCCAACTTCCCCGGCAAAATGTTCGTTGACGTGGTGAGCCCCCTTTCTAAACGATGCTCCGATATCCCGGGTCGAATTTTCAGAGAAGTGCAACATTGTCCGAAGCGTTCACATTTCTGTGGCAAGCTCTCGTCTTTCTCTCCATTTTTTATTTTTTGAAGTGAGTCAGTAAGTGCGCTCCATAGACAAAAATGACTTTAGTTTTTCTCTCTTCTTGCATGGATGGCCTCAGGTTCGACCCCTATGGGGGTCAAAATTTTTTTGTTTTCTTTTTGTAGATCAAATTTATTACATTGTCAATGGAGCGCACTTTCCCCCTTTACTCATATTACCTCACCCCTCCTCGTTTAGGAAGAGAATCAAGACGAACAAAATCGAGCGTCGATTGCGTCTTTTAGAACGCAAACATGAGTGCGAGTGAGTCATAGGGAAAGAGTCTCACCTTTCAAATTTTCCTCCAATATTCTAGATGGATCCTTTTGGAGCCGGCCCATGCACTCAGTAAACTCAAGGCAATGCAATTCTTCTCGGCTGAGAAGGTTGATGATAATTGAACTTTTTTTTTGGTTAAAAAATATGAATTTTGAATGATTTTATCCCCAAAATCGTCGGTCAGTGCCACTGTTACATCAGGAGGGTTAAAAAAAAAGAAAAAAAGATTTGGCCACAGCGGGGATCGAACCCGAGACCTGTTTCTCCAAAACTTAGAGCGCTAACCACTAGGCCACCCCACTGATGCGTTGGCAGGCGAGAAGGCGCGGCGTTCTTCCCCCTCTCTCCCCCCCCCCTCGCCACGTTTCGATGTCCCACCGTGGCCTAGTGGCTAGCGCTCTCGCTTTTGGAAATTTCATACCCAAGTTCAATCCCCACTGGGGTCAAATCTTTTTTACTTTTTTTCTGGACATCTGGACATCCTGACAAACTGCGCTCATTACATATTTTGCTACTTTCTTGTAATCTTGATGTTTGTCATCCCTTTGTTTGCTCATCGGCGGGAGTCGGTTCCTTAAGGATAACAGGGAGGTCTTGTGCGGCTCATTGAGCAGTGTTCATTATGTGTTACTTTGATGACGTGGCACCCCCATGTTTTTGTTTCTCTGCGCTCTCTTCTCTCTCTCTCTCTCTCTCGCTTTCCGTTTACCTGTACACTGCTTTATATGGGTGATAACGGCCTCCTCCTTACTCCGCACCGGTGATGCGTGACTCACCGGGGAGGAAAAATCGTTTTCTTTTGCCTCTCCTTCACTCTCATTGGTTATTCATGAGAAAATTGGAATAGTTCTATAATAGTAAGAAGATGGTATTGGTCATAGGTGAATCATCCTTATAGGTTATTTTTCAAAAATTTTTTGATGGCGCTCTTGCGGCTCAATTTCAAGAATTCTCAGGAAAATTTGGTAGCTAGATGGTAGATCAAAAAATTCCCTATCGATTGGTATAATGTTCATATAAGATTGTTTCAGAAAATGAGCTCAAAAACTCGAAAAACTCTTAATTTTTTGAAATTGCTCAGAATAAAATTATCCAGTTTTTCGACTATAACTCAGCTCAAAATGAATTTTTCGGATTGATTTTTGCACCGATTTGTAGGAAATTCAAAAGCGCGTCTCGCCGTATAAAATTAGTGATTCAGCACGAAAATGACTTCGTGGCCTTTTTTCTCAAAATACTTTCCCCACGTTTTTTTTTCTAGGCCATCATGCCAAATTTGTGTGGGTTCTGTTCAAAACAGCTCCCCGATCATTTTCCATTTCTCAGAACTCAAAAATTTCGATTTTGAGCCGAGTTATGCTAAATTTCATGGAATTGCTCAGTATAAAAATTTTCAGTAATTTGGCTATAACTCTGCTCAAAATGAAGATTTTGGCCTTGTTTGAAAACCGATTTGTAGAGAAATTAGAGGCGCATCTAACTCTGCATGAAAACGGTTTGCTTGCCTAACTTTTTCAAAGTTTGGGTTTCTAGGCCACGACTGGGATTCTTTTAACACTATAACGGCTTGATCGTATAATTTTTTTTGTCATTTTTCTTTTAGTAAAGCCCTAAAGCACGTCTAAAAATCTCCCTTACATCAATTCCAAATGGTCACGCTCATTTCATTTCTTCCCTCCCTCCGCCACCATGAAAACCTGAACCATTCCTCCTGATCCTCTCCTCTCCTCGGGGAGGCTTTGACCTTCCCTTCCTTTCTTATTCCAAGTCGAGTCATCTGTGTACCTTTTGTTTGCTTCCTTCCCATTCCACCCGTTACCCTTCTACCACCAAAACAAATACATGTCTCTCTCTCTCGGTTCGGAAAGAAGAGAGAGCACATACATGTTCGGTGCTTTTGCCATATGCTCTCTCTTTCTCTACAAATAATAATAATAATAACGAAAAATCGATAATCGTACTTTCTTGGAATTTTTTTTTTCTTCAAAAGTTGTCATCATGGTCGGGGCAGGGCTGTCAATTTGGGTGTTTTTCGGCCGCGGCCCGGCAACGTTCGGAGGCCCGGGTTCCAAAACTTTGAATTTTTTCTCTGAAAACTTATCAAAATAGTGTAAAACCACAGTTTTTATGCTCAATATAACGCTGGAGCACAAAATTTGGGAATATTTTTTTTGAATTCTCAAAACTCGCGGGATTTTTCCGGACCGAGCGGGCTGAACCGGCCGGGCCGGGCCTTTGAAATTGGTGGTGAGGCCCAGCCCGGCCTCTCAAAAATATGTGCATTTTGGTAGAAAAAACGGCCCAGCTTTTGTTATCCACGGCCGACTTATATTAAAAAAAAGCCGCAGTCAGCCGTCTGGCAGCCTAGAGTCAGGCCTCAGAAAGTACTTTTTGTTTTCGATTCTCGATTTTTTTTTGAATTTGAACTTGGCGCTATTCGCCCTATTCGCCCAACATCACGTTAAATTTTTTTGTACGTACAATTTTTTTTTCGGTTTCAACGCTCCATCACACACGGGCTTTTACAAATTTCATATTGCGCCTTTAAATTCTGACAGTAAGCCGCGCTTAAGCCGAAGGAGCACCATGTTTCCAGAGCACTTTTCAGTAATAACTTTCGATCAAATTCTGTCAATATTATATGCAACATGATGCGAAGAAAAATTTCTATTCAATTTGATTCAAAACAGCATAGGCGCTGATTTTTAATTTTTCAACAAAATGAGAAAATTACCTACGTATCGCTGAGTCGCCACGCAGTTGGCATGCGACCCTACAGTAAGACAGAGCCCGCAAACGAAACCTTTTGAGAACACGTACAAAATAATTTAATTTCAGCTATTTTTTTCAATTTCAGCAAATTTTTTTATTAGGATAGTCTCTAGAGAGTAGGGCTCATTATGACTTTTTTTGGACCTAAATATCTTTTTTTTTTTCTCATTAAACCATCCATTCTAACACATCCTCAATTGTATTTACATGTCTACGGTGTCAAGTTTTTTTTTTCTTCTGGTGTATATTGACACTTCCATGAGTCATTTCTGGAGAGTATAGAGAGAAAATTTTTCCTTTTTTTCACAACTGATAAGATTTTTCCCCATTTTTTCGGCTTGTCAGTATCGATTTGGTGTTGTTCTCTCAGCTTTTTGTTGTTCCAGGCGCTGGTTTGTCCGGATTTCCATCACAGAATTGTTAGACGTTTTGGTTGCGTACCTCGCTTTCCTAGGTTCTGGAATCCATCAATTTCAAAATATTTTTCCTGGAAATGAAACCGCGCTCTATTGATAAAATTGACTACGTTAGTTTTCAAAATAGTCATAATTTTTTTTTCCAAATTCCATAAAAACATAATCTTTTAGATTTTTTATCGATTTTTTTCATTCACTTATCAACTTCTGCCTATTATTTTCCATGTTATCAGTACCCCAGCTCTTCCAATTTTCTATTTTTGTCTCCCTTTTTTAATTTCCTCCGTTTCTTTCTCTCTTTTTTGTCTTAAAAATCAATTGAATGTTGACTGAAATTTCAATTTTTTCAGACATAGTCTAATATGGAAATTCGACTAAGGCACTTGGCTATCGCCGCCGTTCTTTGCACAGTTGGTAAGACTTCTTTTTTTTTGGAATTTTGAAAACTTTGAATTCAAAAAAGTTAGTTGCTCAAGAATTACAGAAAATGGTCAAAAACTAGGGTTTCTGGAACTTTTTTTGAATCGAAAACCATAATTTTTGGTTCTAAGTACAGTAATCCTAGATCCAACTACAGTAACCCAAGATCCGACTACAGTAACCCTTTTTCAGTCTACTATGCCGACGCTCAAGGTTTGAACGATCCGATCACACAGTACATCGAGGGAAGACTCGGAAATCGACGAATCTTCTGGTGTCCTTCTGGATATGGTAAGCTTTTTTTTTTGAAGATGGTGGCCTAGAAAACCAAACTTTGAGAAAGTTAGGCCATCAAGGATTCTAAACGACTAGATGTGCCTTTGAATTCCCTGAAATTTGGTCGAAAAACCAACCCAAAATCTTCGTTTTGACCCGAGTTATAGTCGAAATACTGAAAATTTTTATTCTGAGCAATTTCACAAAATTGAGCACAACTCGGCTCAAAATCGATATTTTTGAGTTCTGAAAAGTGGAAAATGATCCGAAAGACAATTGGAACAGAACTGATATGAACTTGACATGGTTACCTAGAAAACCAAATTTTAAAAAAGTTAGGCCATCGAGCAAATTCAATCAAGTTTTAAACGCCTAGATGCGCATTTGGCGTTTCAAAAGTTTGGTCCAAAAACCAACCCTAAATCTCTATTTTCAGCCGAGTTACAGTCTAAATACTCGAAAACTTTATTCTGAGCAATTCCACAAAAATGAGCATAACTCGGCTCAAAATCGATATTTTTGAATTCCGTAAAATGGAAAATAATCAGAAAGTCATTGATGGCCCGAAAAAGCTAGAAAAAATTCCTCCAACTTCCAGGTTACCTCGCTTTCTGCCCACAACCAACCGATTGGGATAACTACAACTGGTGTTGCACATTCCCCTACATGGGATCATGGAAACCGTCGTGCTGTCAATTCGCCATCCCCACTGGAGCCGTGGTCGCCATCATTCTGGCGGCTATCGTTTTGTTGTTAGGTGAGTGTGCAGACAACTAGACAGTCTGGCTTCTCTGCGTCTCTCCTTTCTTTTTTCTTTTTTCTACAACGCTCCCTTAATTTTCAGTCCTGATCGCCATGTCATGCTGGTGCTGCTGGTGCTGTCCGCTGTACAAGCAGTTGTACGATTTTGAGGA